GTGCACCCAGAGAGTAGTGGTGGACGGGTTGTACTCAACCTGGTGAGATGTGAGCAGTGGGGTACCCCAGGGCTTGGTCTTCAGGCCCACACTGTTTAACATCTTCATCAGTGACTTGGATGAGGGGGTAGAAAGCACACTGTCCAAGTTTGCTGATGACACTAAGATGTGGGGCGAGGTGGACACACTTGAAGGGAGAGAGAGGCTGCAAATAGATTTAGACAGACTACAAAAGTGGGCAAATGAGAATAGGATGGGATTCAACGTAGACAAATGCAGGGTGCTGCACCTTGGGAGAAGGAATGCACAGCACACATACAGGCTGGGGAGTTCCCCTCTTGAAAGCACAGAGGCGGAAAGGGATCTTGGAGTCATTATCGACTCCAAGATGAACATGAGCCGCCAGTGCCAGACTGCAGCCAACAAGGTCAGCCATACCTTGTCATGCATCCAAAGTTGCATCTCATGCCAGTCCAGGAGGTAATACTCCCCCTCTGTGCGACTTTGGTCAAGCTGCAGTTGGAGTACTGCATCCAGTACTGGGCGCCGCACTTCAAAAGGGATGTGGCCATCCTGGAGAGGGTTCAGATGAGGGCCACCCACTTGGTGAGAGGGCAACAGGACCGGCCCTCTCTGTGAGGAGAGACTGAGGGATCTGAACCTGTTCAGCCTCAGCAAGAGGAGGCTGAGGGGGGACCTGGTGGCTGCCTACAAACTCATCAGGGGAGGTCAACAGCAAATAGGTAGAGCCCTTTTCTCCCCAGCAGCACCTGGGGTGACAAGGAACAATGGTAATAAGCTGATGGGGAACAGGTTTAGGTTAGAGATCGGAAGGCAATATTTTACAGTTAGGGTGGCCAAAATCTGGAACAAACTTCCCAGGAAAGTGGTCCTTGCCCTTACCTTGGGCAAATTCAAGAGGAGGTTGGATGATCACCTGCCTGGGGTCTTGTAAACCCAGCATTCATTCCTGCCTGTGGCAGGGGGTCAGGCTAGATGATCTGTTCAGGTCCCTCCTGACCCTAGCTACTATGAAACTATGACAGGTAGGGTCAGGTGACCCCAGCAAGATTACTGTCCAGTCTCCTCTTGAGGATTTCCAGAGTAGGTGATTGCACCACCTCCAAAGGGAGCTTATTCCACAGTCTGGACACCCTAACTGTGAAGAAGTTTTTCCTAATGTTGAGCCTGAAATGGTTTTCCAGGAGTTTGTGGCCATTACTCCTGGTTTTCCCCAAGGGCACCCTGGTGAACAGTTGTTCACCGAGCCCCTGATGTACTCCCCTGATGTAGCGGTAAGCTGCTACCAAGTCCCCTCTCAGCCTTCTTTTTCAGGCTGAATAGTCCCAGGTCCCTCAACCTTTCCTCATATGGCTTTCTGTGCAAGTCTCTGATCATACGGGTGGGCCTTCTCTGGACTCTCTCGTGCTTTACCACATCCTTGTTGAAGTGCGGTGCCCAGAGCTGGCAGCAGTACTCCAGTTGGGAGTGCCCTGTGCTGCAAATTTGCAGTGGTGGGGCCAAAATCTACTACTGGGAAATCCTGGTAGCAAAAGAAAAAGAAAAGAAGTGGAGGGGGAAGAAAAAAACTGCTGGGAAAATAAGTGCAGCACACACAACAGGAGCATGGATCAGAAGACACAGAAGCTTGGTCCTCCAGGGTGACTCTGGCTGCTGGCCAGAGTGTCTTTACTCTTGCAGTTGTGCCCTGGCTCCTCCAGGAGCTGGCAAGGGCAGTTTGCTCAAAATGGGACAATTTGTCCCTCACCAAAGTGCACAAGCAGGGGCGTGCACTACAGCAAAAAGTAGCAGCACAGATTTGTTCCGCTACTGTTTTTGCCACTGCAATTGCATACCCCTGGACATCTGGTGCCTAAGCCTAACAGAATTACTTTCTTCATGTTATGAGCAGTTAATTACTGTATACTTAATTATAGCATACACCTTGGTGGTTTTCTTCTGCTAAAATCTTTCTTGATGTACATCAGATTGGCCATTGGGTAGTTTTTACACATAATACAAACACAATGTATATATTTGATGCATAAAACAGTCAAAAACTATGGCTTGTCTTTTTTTTACACTAATAATTCAAAGAGAAAATAGAAGATGAATGAATTAAATTCCAAGGCTATGTGTGTTTGTTGCCAAGACTTTCCAATTAAATGAAACTAAATAGTTTAACACACATCTGCATCATACTTTTTTATAGGCTGGATTTGCAATCATATCTATTTCCATGTCAGATTCAGGAAAGTTATAGAAACAAGGAAGAATGCTTCTTGATAACCATAAATGCTCATAGTGGATAGCGCAGTGAGATACTACATCCCTGGATTGCAGAGCCTGCTCTCACCAAGTGTCCCTTGTAGTATAGAATACCCTTCACTTCCTATATATTTCCCAGGAGTGTTGGCTCTGCATGCAGAGGGAAGTATATCAAAACTTCTTAATATATGTGGTCAAATTCACTATGCATGCCCAGCAAAGAATTTTGCCTCTTTAAAATAGAATTTGCCTTGTAGCAGCAGTTCCATGCTACCTCAAAGGTAAAGCTGTGTCTTAAAACCGCAGTGGATGAATAAAGCATAATTACTACTGGTATACAAATCCACAGCTGTTAAACATGAAATGAGGGGAATCAGAGAGCTCATTGTATTGTCAAAGAGTAGGCTGACTTTATCTTTTAGATCACCAATTTGAATTAAACCCTGATTAATAAAGCATAAAGAAATTACGCCTAAATGATGTGCCCAATGTATTGCTCTCCAAGTAGAAATAATCTGTCACTCAAGCAGTTAACACATTTTATGCACCTGTTTGGCTACCACTTTTGGAACATTTTTGCACAATGAACACTGAATATTGATTTTTTTCACCACTCTACTATATTTTCAGGAAAAGAGTTTTACTGAATGAATTTCCTTTTTGACAGCATTGAAAACCAGAGTACTTTCCCCACACAAAGTACAACTAAATTAATGCTAGGACAAAACCTCTGCCATACTGGCAACGTATCTTTCCTTTTGCCACATGCTCTTACATGAAAAAATATATAATTTGAGTGTTCCCAATTCTCACAACAACATGCAGAATCTTGGGGTATTTGGTATTTTTTTCCCTTAAAGCCTGATAACTAAGAGTTATATTACATGAACATTTTGACTTTCACTAAAAATAAACAAAAACAATTTTAGTTCTTATGGTTACACAGGAAGGTTTGAAATGCTGAAACCTAAAGGCATATTAAAAGTAAAAACTAAAAGACAAGTGAAAAAATACAAAAAGGGTTATGGCTTAAAAAACAAACAAATCTTCTCATAATTTTCAAGCTGCCAAACAAATGATTTAGGGGGTAGGGACAGCTTTTGGGCATTAATGCTTGTGACAAGGAATACTGCAATATACAAACAAAATGTTACAAATGTGTTATTTGTGTGACTTTGTGGAGAAGTGAAAGGGGTCACATCAAGTTCTAATATTAGGTGTTCAACAAACAGATAAAAGTGACAGAAAATAGAAAACATTTATTTTGGTGAGAGAGAATTACAGACAAGAAAGGATCCTAATTTAATTCTTTCTCCCTCACTGGAACCCCACTCCCCAAGGTAAACGCTTTTCATTTTAAATCTGAGTGTAGAGAGTGTAAAAGTTTTAGGTAAACACTGCTTCAACTTGATGTGAAAGTTGAGAATACTGTCACTGGGGAGAAGTGTTTTCTTGTTTTGCCTTAAATGGAAAAGCTGGGATATAGGAAGAAGGAATTTACATTTCAGTTTACCTAAGACATGTTTCAAGCATTAAATAACTAATCAGCAAAAGCAGGGGTTCTTCCCCAACCCCTTGACCACTAGAAGCCTTTCTGTGCTTCCTTTGAGCTCACAAAATCATTAACCATGTGCTGAAACGACAGGCTAGTGGTGGCCAACCAGTGGCAGGCATGTCATAAGTAGCACAGGCAGCCAGGGTATGCGACATGCAAGTCCCAGGTGCCAAGTAAAATTAGCTGTCCGTGACAGGAGTTAGGGGTCCGTGCTTGGCTGAGAATTTGGCCTTCAGGAACTGTGGGTTCCCTGCAGGAACTGCAGGTAGGTGCTACCAAATTCAGTGTTGCTTCATCCTGATGGCAACTGAATTCAGTGACACTGGCTAATTATTAGACTTGTACTGTCTCATGCTCTGGACTCTTTGTGGCATACTTGCCAAAATCGTGGACTTAGCTGATCCAAGGAGCTGGCAAGTGAGGCTGGGCCTGATGAAGGGAGTTACCTGATTGGAGGAAGGCTGGATTTAGGCAGGGTGTAAGGCAGAGACAGGCAATTATTTCGGCTGGAGGGCCACTTAACAAGTTTTGGCAAGCTGTAAGTCCAGACCCTGAGAGCAGGGCTGGTAGTAACACCTTAGGAGCTGGGGAAGGAATACCACCTAGCAGGAAGGTGGCAGCTTCTGAGAGATTGGAGGCCTGTTCAGAGGCCAGGTGAAGGACAGGGAGTGAGGGCTTGTATTTGTAGGATTTATAGGAGGCTCTGGGTGAGCCCAGAGGGAGCGATTTATGGAGGGGCCCAAGGAGGTGGCCCTGCCTAAGCCCAGCCCTCCTCCAATCAGGTGAGTCCCTTCATCAGGCCTAGCCTCACCTCCCAGCTCCCTGGGTCAGCTGACTCCACAATTAGCCCTGACCCCCACCTGTCAGTGGCTCCAGAGGCTGCCTGACCCCAAGCACCCTGACACATCTATGTAAGTGAGAATGTATACTTGCTAGTCTTTAAAGAGCAATTGGAGAGTGAATGCGTGTACACAATATTAGGAAGCTTGGATGAAACAACAGAAATATCAAGTGTCCATTATATGTTTAAAAAAAAATATTACTTGAGCTCAATATGTCTAGAAGGCTTATTAGTGTTCTGGCTGTGATAGTCGCAGCTTATTTGAAAACTTGGTCTTTCACACAGGTATAATGTCTTGGGATTAGAATAGTTAAGAGACCAGGCAAACAAGAAATCGTAGTGAATTTTATGTTTATTTACAAATCATATATATAAAAAAAAGGGATTTAAAATCTCAAAGAGTATGTACACATAAATAAAAAAGTATTACTTGGCCTAAGGCCAAAAATAATTGCAGGCATTTATGCTGCAACTTTCATCCAGGGGTACAAAAGGCAAGCGAGCAAAGTTTATTACATCCATTTTATGTACAAGGAAGGAAGGTACAGAGAAAATAAATGGCATTACTATTCAGGAAAATGACTGTCAAAATGAGAAACATGGGGTTTTATACATATTTTTTTCTTGGTGACCTCATAAAGAATTGGCTGTGAATTGGAGTTTTATTTCTCTCTTCAGTGATACACATTCTCGTAGCTGAAATAAAAACTGGTCTCTTCCCTTTTGTACTCCTTCCTATGAATAAAGAAAAAGATACTGCAGGTGGAATGTAGTTAACAGCATTACTGGTGATGTGCGAGTCAGAAGAGAATCCAGTTTTGGCTCCTACAGCTCTGTTGTTTCTGCAAAGCTCATAGAAAAGCAAGTAGGTACAGTTGTACTTATTATTAAAGTCAGTATACATTATTCTGAACACAGAAAATGGAGAGAAGGTGCTATGTGCATGTGCACACTTTCTGGACTTCTTGCAAAACATAGCAGGACAGTGGCAAAGCTAAAATGGAAGTCAGGAGCTCCAGTTCCTCTGTGGGATAAAACCTCATCAAAAGAATGATGTGAGAAAAGTTAATATTGTAGAAAGCACAAAACTTAAAAGCTAACTCCTCAGGGTGCAACGAGTTGCAGCTGATGGAATACTGGTGTCAGCCCACATGTTAAAGGTTCACTGTGATCTTGCGAACAGCTGTCTTCTCTTTGGCACACCCAATGGTTGTAGTTTATCCTACAACACATTGGTAACATTACTTGATGGCTCTCAGCACACATCTAGCCTGCAGCCACAAGAGGCCACTGCTGTTCTTTGCCTTTCTCTGCGTGCAGCATTTCAACACAATGTGCTCAGAGGAACAGGGTAGAGGCGAGAAACAGTTGTGATCCTCCTTCCTCATCCCACCTGCCCCGCTGTTCTAGAGTGGAATAAATACAGTAAGTTATTTATTGATAGAAAAGGAGCTGAGTTTGTTGCTACCACTCTTAACCTGAATAAGAGGCTAAGGCAAGTAACCTACATGCAAAATAAAGGCTGCTGTCACTTGCCAAATAACCAAATGTGATTTCTTGGTAAAATTCTGAAACTGGTTGATAAAGGCAACTGTGATGTAGTGAGACTTGTGAGGCATTTAGTTAACACCCTAGGACGCTCAGATTAAAATTAGCACACCTTAAACACACTAAAAATAGGCCAGCTAACAGCTCACAAAGGCTGATGCCAATGAGGAAGCCTCATAAAAACTGGGTGCATCCACCCTTGCTCCATGGGCATCAGCACCAGGTGAACACAGCTAAAAAAAGTTGAAACTGCAGCAGATAACAAGCCTGGGGGCCCAAGGCCCCTGGTACACATTATATATATTATGCCATTAACTGAATCATACAATAAATGGAGACGGTCAGCCATACATGCAAAATAATTCTCACATGATAAAAAACTACGAGCCAGCTATAAAAAAAGAGCCAACTGCCCACACAGTTCACACGCCTATAGCCAGTTTCCATCCAGCTTTAATTTGAACAGTGGGGCAAGGTCCAAGGATTGGTAGGACGGTGAGACCCGCCGAGTGCCATTCACGCCAGGGTCACAGGACTAAAAATAAAAGCGGAAACTACTCAGCAGTGGGGAAATCCTGGAAGAACCAGGGGTGAGGAGATGGGGGCAGTGACCAGCACGAACCCCTGTGCAAAGACTGAGGCAGACTCAGCTGCGGGTCCTGCACAGGCCCGGGCAGCAGTGGGAGCGCTCAGTGCCGAGACGGAGCTCCATCTCGTGCCAGGCCGCGCGGCAAATGCGGAGCGCCCCAAAAAAGCGGCCCCGCCCCCCCCTGGAACTCAAAGCGCGCAGAACCCGGACGGCCACTCCACTCCCGCCCCGCTCCGCTTATTTCGCCCTTCACTGCGCAGGCGCAGAAACGGCCCCACCCGCAATCTCACAGCACCCGGATGTGGCTGAGGCGCAGCGCTCAGCCGCAGTCGGCTTCTCTCGCGCGCCTGACGCGTGGGCGCGTCAGATACTTCCCCTCCCTCTCCAGCTGAGGGCGCATGCGCCCCTGCTTCGACGCCGCAACTCCTTTCCTCGCCAGTCGCTAGAGCGCATGCCCTGTTCCCCGGTCTAGTGTCTCCCCCGCCCCCCTCCCGTATTATCACGCGCGTGCGCCGTTGCTCTGGATTGCCCCCCCCCCGCAGCCA